ACAAAGTCCTTGATGCTTCCCTTATTGAACCCATAACGTCTTAAGATCAAGAAGCTGCTTTCGTGCAGCCATGGCAGCCAGAAGAGCTGCTTCGGAGAGATTTCCACAGGCATCTCAGAGGATATTTTAGAAATAGTTGGGGTTATTTGGTTGCTTTTGTGATGATCTAGGAGTGTCTGTTTTGCTCACTCCCGATGTTTCCAGAAGCAGCACAGACATTCAGGATCAAGGAGCTGCCTGCGTCCCCACCGGAATTCTGCTTCCTCAGCCCCTCTGGCAACTTGACCTTGCACCCCAATCAGCCGGGCATGGTGGTGCATGCCTGTAGTCCCAGCTACTCGGGAGGCTGAGGCAGGAGGATCACTTAAGCCCAGGAGTTGGAGGTTGCTGTGAGCTAGGCTGACGCCACGGCACTCACTCTAGCCTGGGCAACAAAGCGAGACTCTGTCTCAAAAAAAAAAAAAAGAAGATGAAAGGAGAAAGAAATCAGTCATAGCATAACAAACAACAAAACTAAACAAGCCATGAACAGTTTTGGACAGCTGCTTTATCAGTGCAGTCTTGGAAACGAAATGATGTCCCTCTCAACAGGCCTGGTTTTCCTGAAAAGTCGGTTGTTCAGAGTCAATTTTGCAGGAAAGGGAGAAGCGAGCACCTTCGCCAGCAGGACTCAGAGGCCCTGGTCACACCGACACCAACCGGCAAAGACAAGGCCAGCAGCCCAAACCGATGGGACGGGACCATGGCGACACTTCAGGTTGGAAACTTGGAAACTGACATCGAGGTGCGCCATCTTTAAGGCGCACCAAGTTCAAGAAGATGTTGTAGTTGCACTAGTTTCTCCGAGTTGCCTCTAGCTTATGTGTAATATTAGAAGCTGCTGCTGTCCTCAGTACTTTTCCTCCAGAAGTAGAGCTCAGGTCAATAAAAGAGTTTCTTAGACTCAACCACACCTCTCTCCAGCACAAAAGAGTAACCAGAGACATTGATACAAGCATTTTATTTATCGTACTTTGTGTAAGTGTGCTATTTTTTTAAAGCCCACTTTGTTCTGGAAGGGATGCTAACCATTTAACCCTTTGCACTGGGATGTCGAGAGTGACTCGACACGGCTAGCAAAAATTATAGAGATTAAAATTACTCATTGAATGTACCAATAATTTGAAATATAAAAAAAATCCAAATAAATAAGTTCGTATGAAAAGAAACTCCAGTTTTTTATTCTACTGCCGCACTTTGTAAAATCTGGGGTATTTGAAAAATTAAATCCCAAGAGTAGAATAAAGGAATCGAGAAAAAAGCAAGCGAGTGCAAAGGGTTAAAGAAGAGGGGAAGGCTGGGGCACAGACTGTCATACTAGCACTCTGGGAGGCCGAGGCGGGAGGATCGCAAAAGATTCAAAAAAAAAAGAAAAATCCAGGTGGTTTGAAAGCAGCAAAAGGCCTGTCCGACGGTGGAGGTGGGGGGCCCTGACCGCCACACTGCCCACCTGGCCGTGTCACCCCCAGCAGCCCACAGGGGACGGTGGGCCGCTGCTACCGCTTGGGTCGCGAGAGGCACGGCCAGGCGGGAGCACAGACGGAGGAGCAGACAAACTGGCCTCTAGTGTTTCACACCCCAGGCCAGAGGTACAGAGAGGACCAGACTCCGGCCAGGTGGACAGCATGGCCCTTGGACCGACTTAAGTACATGTTTAGGCCCTGGCTTTCCAAGCGGCGTGGGAGCTGAGGGACTTTAGAACACTGGGAGAATAATATCTATACAACAGGGAGGCGTCCCAAATCTCCTCTAGCCGTGCCTCCTGTCCCGGCTGACCCGCCCACGCATGACATGCTCCATGCGTGCCCTTCTGCATGCGTCTGCGGGTGTTTCCTCTTTCTTTTTTTTCCAAGGCCACTCCAGCTCCCAGTTCAGACCGAGGCACTTCACGGCAAGGTGCTCTGATTTTCCTGCATGCCCAAGGAATACAACCACAACTGTGGAAAAAAAACCAGGCTCTGTGAAAGAGAGCCCCAAGAGCCGGCAGCTTCCGCCACCCGCTGAGAGAACCTACCAGGAAGGGCAGCCGACCAGGGACGTCGCTTCCTGCAGCCGTCCTGGAGGGTTGGGTTTGGCGTTCTGTCCCCGTTGTGCTTTGTTGGGCTGGAAACGTGGTCCCCCGCCGGTGGGCAGGCCCATGAACCTCTCGCTCACCTCTGCTGAGGAAAGGACTTCAAGTAAGTGGAGAGGGTGGCAGGGGAGAGGGCTGGCAGCTGAGGACACAGGACCCTATTTGGTTGCTCTGAGGTAATTAGAACCCCCGCCCGGGAGACCCCAAGCCGTTGAGCAGGAAATTGCAAGGGCATGAGTCACTCCCCATTCTGGAAAAAACATAGGGTGTCCTAGGGCATTGGGGGCCTCCTTATCAAAAAGTAGACAGCTGGGTACATAGACCAGCTCGGCCAAAGGCTAGGATCAGCTTCTGGTTATTGTCTATTCAAACTAAGTAGCTTAATGAGATTGACTGGAACCGTACACTTAGAACTCCCTCACAAAAGGCTGTCCTCCCAAGCTGGCTTAATGGAAGTAACTGAATACAGCGCCCTACAGAGCAGCTGGGCCCAGAATGTGCCTCACACCTTGTGTGGCAAAAAAAAGTTCTAGGGTCCTGAAACCACACTGTTAGCATGGAACCCAGGACGGACCCAGGGCTTCCCAAGAAGGATGACTTTTGCAATCTCCATTTTAAAGCATATCTTCAGTTTAAAGTGGAATTAAATTGATATGCATGGTCTTAGCACATAGGAGACAGCAGAATGTCAGTTTAGCAGGACTGACTTTGGAGTTAGAATGCAAGAGTTTTTGAATCTTAGCTTTCCTGTTTACTGGTTGAGCATACTTGTGTTACTTAACTTCTCCAGGGCTCAGTTTCCCCATCTGTAAAGGGAATGATACTATCCCTACCACACTAGGTTTCTGTGAAGGTTAAATGAGATAATATGTACAAACTTCTTAGCATAGCTGCTGGCGTAGAGCGAGCTTTCAGAGATTATTGGTATTGCTATTATCACAGAAAATATTAATAATTACCATTTAACACCTTTGTACCATATTCCCTCTTATCTAGAACTCGTAGCACATGTTTGGAATGAGCTGCGTTCACAGGTGAGAGCTTGGCATGGAGGAGCTCAGATTTGCAGTCACAGGGACATTTTGAACCCTGGCTCTGCCAGGGACAGTGACGTGATGTGATCTTGCACAAGTCATTGATCCTCTCTGATCTGTATTTATAAGGGTGTGTGTGTGTAACTTTCATTTTAGGGTTTGTGTAAATGAATGTAAATCTCTTTCAGGAAGATTGATATGATTATGAAAAAAATGCTTAAAGACTGATAAAAATGGGTCCCCTTTAGCCTGGGTTTCCAAAAACATATGCATCAAAGAATACTTGTTTTGACAATAACAGACAGGTTGGAGAGATTCATGGTTTGGACAGAAGTTGTCTTGTACAGTGGTTTAAAAAATGAGTGTCGGCCGGGCGAGGTGGCTCACGCCTGTCATGCTAGCACTCTGGGAGGCCGAGACGGGAGGATCGCTCAAGATCAGGAGTTCGAGACCAGCCTGAGCAAGAGCGAGACCCCCGTCTCTACTATAAATACAAAGAAATTAATGACCGCTAAAAACATGTAGAAAAAATTACCGGCATGGTGCGCATGCCTGTAGTTCCAGCTACTCGGGAGGCTGAGGCAGGAGGATCGCTGGAGCCCAGGAGTGTGAGGTTGCTGTGAGCGAGGCCGACACCATGGCATGCTAGCCCGAGCAAAAGAAAGGAAGAAAAGAAAAAAACAACCAGTGTCTGCAGACAGGAGTGCTATATAACCTGCACCTCCTTAAAATGGGGAAAACAACAGCTCCTACCCCATAAGGGTGACACAAAAGTTAATGTGTTGATGTATCTGATATATTTAAGTGAATCAAGAAGGCACAGTTTAAATCTCTTTCTCTCTTTTTGAGACAGTCTCACTTTGTTGCCCAGGCTAGAGTGAGTGCCGTGGCATCAGCCTAGCTCACAGCAACCTCTAACTCCTGGGCTCAAGCGATCCTCCTGCCTCAGCCTCCCAAGTAGCTGGGACTACAGGCATGCTCCACCATGCCCAGCTAATTTTTTCTATATATATTTTTAGTTGGTCAATTAATTTCTTTCTATTTATAGTAGAGACGGGGGTCTCACTCTTGCTCAGGCTGGTTTCGAACTCTTGACCTTGAGCGATCTGCCCTCCTCGGCTTCCCAGAGTGCTAGGATTACAGGCGTGAGCCACCGCTCTAGGCCTCTCTTTTTTTTTTTTTTTTTGACTTCCAACTTATCCATGATTATTTCTCTTCTGAATGAGCTTCTAACGAAACAGACAGCAAGTCTATTTATAAGTTTCAAAAAGAAATAGAATGATAGCAGAGAACAGTCATCTCGTTAGGTCCCTTGTGTTTTATGGGCTTGGAATGGCTGCCTTCTGGAAGGTACCATATGCTTTGTTGGCACTTTAGACAGATGCCCATCCTGGCAAGTTCTGTTGTCGCAGAAACTCTATAGTCTTTCCCATTCGTGCTGTCCTACTTTATGGAAATTGTTTGTGGGACTCAGCACGGGAGTTTGATCATCACACGCGCTCGTGTTTGATCATAACACACTCTTTTGTGTCTCCGTATATTTTCCCAAAGCTGTGTTCTGAGCAGCACAGGCCCTGGGGGCTTCCTTTCTGTGGCACCTCTGCAGTCTAGGGGTGGAAGCCCGTGGCTGCAATCCCAGGCAATTTCGAGCTCTTCCTCTGTCAAAGGCGTTTATCCTCAATACGTTGCATAGCTCTTAGACGACTGCAACGGCCCAGTTGGTGAACAGCCAGCGAAAAACTGGGTTAAAAAAAATAAATAAATAAAAATCCCAACTGCGTTACATTGAACTCAAACTGTCAGGATGAAAACTTAAAGACTTGCTCACCCAAGAAATTATCTCTGGATTCTTTCAGGTTGTGACTCTTCCATTAACCTGACATTCCAGAAATCCAAAATTGCCACGGATGAACTCTTTGCTTCACTTCGGGATATCGCTGGAGCTCGGAATCTCATGAAACAGTTTAAGTCCGTGTATGTTCCCGGGAACCATACCCACCAGGCAAGTGTATCTGTTTTAAAGTTACCTTCTGATAATCCGTTGTGCTTTTAGGATTCGGGGACCACAACTATAAGAAAAGTTTCAGTTTTGTCCTCTGTGCTATGAAGAGTTGGTCCCAGACAGCCCTGGCAAGGCCCCTGTCCTCTTTGGGCCCCCAGTCACTGCAGGTACTGAGGGGCCAGCCTTAAGTGATTCCCAAGTTTATGGGCATACGCCATGTAAACACATCTTGAGCAATTAGAATACTGCAAGTACCTAATAATACTAGAACAAGGGGGAAAAGTTTGTGACAATAAAAACATTTGTTATTTAAAATTCCCCAAATGCTTTCTAAGGAGGGTAGGAGAAGCTAGGAAGGACATTTTGACCGTTGATTGGCAAGATGGTGTAAAAATCGAAGATTAAAGGGATGATTCCTCTGTGAAAACTCAAGAGAGGAAGAATGCATAGAAAGACCCAAAGAGAATCTTGAGTAAAGGAGTAAAGAGCCATCGAGGCTCAGAGTCCCTGCCGGACAAGGCCGGGGACAGAAGTCAGGTTTCTGGTGGCCAGCGATGAGATTTTGGGCAACAGCAGATATTTCTGGCAGGATTAAAGATCACAGAGTTTCATTGTGGGGAATCTTCTTCCCAACTCCGCACGAAATCTTTGGTAAAATCTACTCTATTTATCAAGGCTCTTTGGAGAGCAGAATGTGCTGTTAGTGGGGACCAGGGCACAGTGAGTGGTTTGGCTTCAGGATGCTGACTTTTTTAAGCAGAGAGACAAGAGTTCATGCTACCACCACAGCCTAGGAAAATCCTTGCTTTGCCTCCAATGTACAGCATGCATATAGCAGCTGATACCTGAAGAACATTTCTGCATTTTGTTTTTCCTTTGCTTCCCGAAGCAAGTTAAGCCAGAGAGGTATATCATCCCAAGATCCAGGAAGTCCAAGGGACGTGCCACAGGCACATAGATAGCCAGGGGTAGATGCCAAGTCTTTGCTGCCAACCTAAAACCTCCTCTTCCACTGTATTGTGGTTCTCATAGACGTTCTAGAAGCATTGATTGGTGGTGCTGATGGGCATCTGAAATCACCAACCAAGACACTAAAGACTTCCGAAACTGGTACTCAGAAACATCAAGACTCCCATCCTTTTTCAAAGATCTGAGAACACCCCCACCACAAACTACAGACAAATCACTCAGATAATTAATCATACGTCGTTTTGTCATTTTTTAAAAAAATCAGCAATCTCAAATACTGTGGCGGGGACTAGTTCCAAAAGACATGATAAAACTGGTGATAGATGATGAAATTCAGGCCAAATAATGTCAAGAAGCAAGTGGCCGCTATAGCTGGCGAAAAGAAAATAAATCACAAAATTAATGGGATCTTTTCCATTTTATGATTATCACAGTGACGGGTTTGGCCAACTTCATGTAAACATGTCGGCTATAAATCTTGAGTGTGATAAGGACAATGATAAGTTTCTTAGACCTTATCTCTATAATACCAACACTGCAATTTCTCTGGGCCTCACAACCCTGTCCTGTAGCTACTACCTTTGGAAAATGGACTTTCCCCTAACTGCATATATTTCGCCTTCTAGTGAGTCAATAACATCAAAACTCCTAAGTGCTGGAGGGCGGGAGGTGGGGAGGGGCGGGACACTGCGTGTTTGTTGGCAGGATTAAAGAAATGGTGCCACAGACATGTGGGGAAATGTTTTGCAGCTATTGCAGTGGATGCAGTAGAACTAAGTATGCTGGGCGGGGACCATATTTGAACCCTTGTCCCAGGGTCTCTGCTTCCTGGGGAACTCAAACTAAAGCAGAGGTTCAGGATCGATGGGGTGGGGCAAAAAACATGTTCTAGATCATTCTGTGAAGCATGATTCTATTTTTGTAAAAATAGAATAAAAATGTATTAAATGATCTGAGTTTATATTATATATTTTAAAAGGTCTTTGAAATTTTAGGAGAATTTTATTATGGTTGCTGTAAAGTTTTTGGTGGTGCCGAAAAGAAAAGACAGACAGAGAGAGAAAATAGGGCCAAACAACTTGGCTTTATTGAGCGTTCTCGGGTGAGGTTCGCGGGTCCCAAGGGAGTGGGGGCCCGAGAAGTGGCGCCCGTTTGAAGAGAGTGAGGGCTTTTATGTTATTTGAAATGGGTTTGGGGATTTTTTTGGTGGGAAGAGCTGGGTATATTCCACTTTGACCTTGGGCGGTTATTGAGAAATAGGAGGGACTGGCGGTATTTGTGGAACCCAGGAACCCAAACTGTCTTATCCAGGTGGACATCCAGGTGTGGCTGTTTTCAGCAGGGCTTGGCAGTTGTCCTTGGTGGGTCAGGTCTCCTGAGCCTTTTCTTTTTCATCTAGGGAGTGGGGTGGGAGCCCACCACCAGCCTTACTGTTACCTTGTGGGGGATGGGACGGGTTGGATGGGCGAAGAGGAGGGCTGACTCCGTGCTCTGTCTTTACGGCTACAGAGCACGACCTTTCGGTGGGATGATGAGTGTCTTGGTCCTTTCGAGTTGCTGTAAAGCAATACCCGAGGCTGGGTAAATTATGAAGGGAAGAGGTCTATGTGGTCACGGTTCTCCAGGCTGTCCAAGAAATATCATGCCAGCATCTGCTTCCGGTGAGGTCCTCGGGGAGCTTCCAATCGAGGCGGAAGGTGCAGGGGGAGCAGGAGTGTCGCGGGACAAGAGCAGGAGCAAGAGAGGGGGCAGGGGGTGCCGAGCGCTTTCAAACAACCCGCTCTCGCATGAACTCACAAAGCGAGAACTCACTCGGCGCGGGGAGGGCACCAGCCATTCGTGAGGATCCACCCCCCCAAAACACTGGGGATCCCATTTCAACATGAGATGCAGAGGGGACATCTAGCCAGACTACATCATTGGGTCATTTTGACTATTAGGATTGTTCAATATTTCTCAAATGTAAAGAATTTTCAAACTCCAGGTATAAGCCCTGTGAGAACAAGGATTTTGATCTGTTCTGTCCCCTGCCATATCCTCAGTGTCTAGAATGACATCTTGCACAGAGTGGCTGGGTGCTTAGTAATATTTGTTAAGTGCATTTTATTTTATTTTATTTTTTTTTCAGACTTATAATATTTTTTATTTTATTTTTTTATTTCAGTATATTAAGGGATTTTAAGGTTTCAGTAAATGCCCTTTCCCCCCCCCAACAAGTCTGAGTTTCCAGCATGACCATCCCCCAGATGGTGCACATCTCACTCATTATGTATGTCTATACTGTTAAGTGCATTTTAAATAGAATACTTACATCTTTATCATAGATCAGAGGATTTATTGGGGACACAGAGTACGCATAAATAGGAAAGTACAAGTGTCCAGACTGGAGTCCCAGTCCAGCTGCGTGTCTGGTTTTGAAAAACGATCCTTGGCTGGACAATTTTCTGTCCATCTCTTCTCCCAGTTTGGTCCCCAGCCCCTTGGCCCCAGAAGAAATATGTGCTTTCTATCCAACCCCATGTCGTGTCTACACAGAAGCTAGCCGAGGTGTCCTGGGCTCCCTGGGGCACCCGGGAAGGCACCAGACCTGGCCCGGGCCTGGGTTCCCTCCGGGTCCGACCTGTGCCGCACGTCTGGGCTCTCTGCCCTGCGACTCGAGCCCCCGCTGGCCCCAGCCTGCCCCCCGACGCCCTCCCTCCTGCTCTGATGCACGCCCGCCAGAGCCACGGCTACCTCTCTGCCAGCACTAGGAGTGCTTCTTATTTCATTTCTGTCCATTCTTCCTTTAGGAAAATGTGTTAGTCACAGTTCAGACGCAGAAAGCAGACACCACCCCAGTCACTTTAAGGAGGATATGATTCAGTACAAGGAATTAAATACAACACCAAATCTCTGGGCCAGGTGCAATGGCTCAAGCCTGTCATGCCAGCACTTTGGGAGGCAAAGGTGGGAGGATCATTTGAGGCCAGGAGCTGGAGAACAGCCTGAGCAACACAGTGAGACACCATCTCTACAAAAAAATAGAAAAATTAGCCAGTCCAGGTGGTGCCTGTAAGTCTCAGCTACTCAGGAGGCTGAGGCAGGAGGATCGCTTGAGCCTGAGAGTTTGAGGTTGCTGTGAGCTATATGATGACACCACTGCGCTCCAGCCCAGACTGAAGAGTGAGACCCTGTCTCAAAAAAAAAGAAAAAAAAAAAGAGTTCGAGGCTGCAGGGAGCTATGATCCGGCCCCTGCACTCCAGCCTGGGTGACAGGGTGATACTCCGTCTCTTTAAAACAACAAAAGAGGAAGAGGAAGGAGCTCATAATAGCAGCTCTGTAATGATTTGCAAGTTAATGCATATAAAACTCTTAGACCAGTATCTGCCACACAGCACCGTATGTAAGTATTTGCTATTACAGCCGTGGCAATGGTAAAGAACAAAGGAGGCCTTCTCTTCGTCTCCTTTGCAGCATTTTTTTATTTTCCTTTGTTAGGATGTGATTACACAGAAAGGCTGTCTTTCTTGCTTTCTTTTTTTTTGAGACAGAGTCTGGCTCTGTTGCTCAAGCTAGAGTGCTGTGGCGTCAGCCTAGCTCACAGCAACCTCAGACTCCCGAGCTCAAGCGATCCTCCTGTCTCAGCCTCCTGAGTAGCTGGGACTACAGGCATGCGCCACCATGCCCGGCTAATTTTTTCTATATATTTTTAATTGTCCAACTAATTTCTTTCTATTTTTTTTTTTTTTTTTTAGTAGAGATGCGGGTCTCGCTCTTGCTCAGGCTGGTCTCGAACTCCTGACCTCTAGCGGTCCTTCCGCCTCGGCCTCCCAGAGTGCTAGGATGACAGGCGTGAGTCACCTCGCCCAGCCCTTGCTTTTTTGTTTGTTTTTAAGACTGGTCAAGCGCAGTGGTGAGAAGGGGGAAAGAGGAGAGAGCAAGGCGTTGGGTAAGGGTGTCTTTCTAAAGCCAAGTGTCCTGCTAGCTGCTGTGAATGGTAAGAGGCTTGCTGCTGGCACCGTCTGTTGGAAAGATTGCGTTTGACTCTGTT